AACTTTTATAAGCATTATTATCACATATCCTCATTCTTAACCAAATTACGATTAGACTCACATGTCGTTTAATTGTTAATCTCTTAACGTCTTTCCTCTCTTGGTTACGATGATATCCCATCATCTAAAGGCATACTTTTCAGCATCTATGTAGCATCATCACTTAATTTGTAAGGGCCAATACTAAGTAATCAACATTGTCTATAACATCCTCATGTGTTCAGCAAATCTCAAATTGGATTCCATATAATTCTTCGCATCCATTTCTTCCTCAATTTACATCGTATAATACCTCCGGTGTACAATGACTCCTGCTAAGTATACCAACTTAATTAAAAAGCAATTATTCAGACACCATTGATTTCTAAACCCCCAAAAAAAATACTTTCCTTCACATAAAGGAAGTGATGGGAATCAAATATCACTTAGCATGATTAAACACTAAGTTAGGGCATACAAATTAACTCTACCGCTCGACTCAAATTGTCTACTATTAAGCATAGATTGAGCAAGTATCGATCAACCGACCTAGTAATCTTAGTCATATATATAGTTCTAATCTAGGCTGATGGGTCTACAATCCGACCTTCTACTATAACTTTGCAGCTTAACTCCTACAAATTCTTTTCAAATCATCCTTACAACATCATAGTACCATGTTTCGTGAAAGTTTAAATTATGAAGTGTTTTATTACTACTCCATATTCAGCTAAGGAGTCTCGCATGGGAAGGTCATATGATGTGTGTCCATCTTAGTTCTCATTATTTCCTCACTTCCATCATCGAGGGATAAATTTATATACATTACTACATACCTAGATGCTAATCCCTAACCATCACTAGGTAATTTATCCATACCTAATTGATGGTAAGTCCATCACAACATCTCTATACTAGATGGTAAACTCTAATCATAACTAGGTAATAATTATAGGCCGTTATTGACCTTAAATCATCATATTGTTATATCATAAATATATACTAACCATAACTATGGGGAAATGATTTTTAAAATAGAAATTGAGGTTGAACCTCATCTTATACATAATATATATTCCATCGTCTTTCGTATTAGAAACATCATCTAACGTCCATGTAACACAAACAAGTTTTGCTAAACATTACCGTAATGAGGGCATGTTTGCCAAACATTACTGTGATGAAGACATGTTTGTCAAACATAACTTATAGGAGCTGCCTTTCACATATTTTAATAGTTATTATGGGAAAGAAGCTATAGCCAACGTTTATAACCACATCTTCTTTCCCTAGATGATAAAGAATTTCATAATTGTAGTTTTCAAAAAGTTATAGCCAATGTTTTCTCGTGTTAAGTTCTTTCTGAATGAACAAGTAACGTAAACTCTTATAATCAGTGAAAAACTTACACCTCATCCCATAAAGAGAATGTTACCATAATTTCATGTGAGTACCACTATAGCCAAATCCAAATCGTGTGTCGAGTATTTTACTTCACTGTATTTACGGGTCGAAGACACCAAGGTCGACCCATTGGTTGATAACCTGATATTCGTTGTTATGATGAGTATGGAATAGATATGCATGCCAGTTTTGATATGCTAGTCTGGTAGATTGGTAGGAATACCTGTGATACTGTCTGTATGATTATTTGTATATGTTAGTATATGTTATATGTCGACATATTGTGTGTGTTGGGTTGAGGTTGTACGCCTCCGTGCGGTAGCCAACAAACCTTGGAGCAATCCAAATATGAGCTGAGGGCCGGGTAGGGCATTCCAGACTCATACGGAGGGCTCATGAGCATTCCAGATACGAGCTGGGGGTCGGGTAGGGCATGCCAGACTCTTACTGAGGGCTTGGTGGTATTCAGTCCAATGACTGATCTGGTCAGGGAGCAAGCCAGAAATAAGCTGTGGGCCCCGAGGGCAAGCCATACTTATGATGTGGGCTCATGGGTAATCCAGTCTTTTAGCTATGGAGCCATTGCATGCTGTTATTGTATATATGTTGGTACTTTGGGGGAACTCACTAAGCTTTGAGCTTACAGTTTTGGGTTATGTTTCAGATACCTCAGATGACTGTTGGAAGACGAAAACGTGATCGTACACCTCCTTGTGTTTTGATTTATGATTTTGGGAAAACTCCGATATTAAATATGTTTTGAAAACTATATTATAAACAATGATGATTTGTGGATTGGTTTTAAAAGTTTTAAATTTTTTATGATTTTTATGGGTGTTACAAAAGTGACGAAATAGTACCCCCGACATAACATTTCTTGAGAAACGTGTTTAAAATTTAAAACACTAGGAATAGTAGTGTAACACACCAATGTCGAAGCTATGAAAAACCGAGACTTCATGTTGTATACCAACAAAAACTTAACAAAAACGTGTTAAAGGTTGATATTAAATTAGAAGCTTAAGAAAACATGTTGCACACTTTTCTTAATTTCCACTTTCTCCCGAAATTATTTTAGCAAGAATATGACATTCAATAAAACACTTTTCACTATAATTTTAGAAAGATGAACGAGACAACTTTATAGTTTTTCTGGGACTTATTAATTTTCAAATTGAGAATAATGATATCTTGTCTTGGAATATGAAGACAAATACACTTATATCCAAGATATCTTTTTTCAACCAAATAATATTTAGATGTTTAAGTGATTATAAACGAACTATGATTTATAGACATATTCACGAAATAATCATAAAAGTATATAAAGATACGATCAGATGATGTTGAGAAGTTCAATGTTGACATTGTATTAATCTTGTGAATAAAAACAAACATGATATGTAGACAGTGGCGAATCTAGGATTCAAACTCAAGGGTGTCCAATTTAGATTATTTAAAAAATTAAACATATTAATATTTTATGATTATCGGGTCGGGTTGTGAATAATATCATCTAATGTATGTATAATATTGAATTTAATTCTAATAAGTTTCTTACAATTGTTCATGAAAAATTTATATGGATATGAAAATAATCTGTAAAACAATAGTTGCCAATTTATTCTTAGTGATAATGCTC